AGATGTGATAAAGTTTTAAGTATAATTCTGGCTAAAATTATGTTAATTTTTGGCCGGAATTATGTTATACAAATATAAGAAATTTTTTATATAGTCACATCTCTTTATAATCACCAAATATGGACTGTCCCAAATGTGTGACTATAAAGAGAGTTGACTGTACAATAGTTTAATATAAAAATTGTGATCCTTTATGTCTAGTAATATTTAAAAAGAGTAAATATAAAAAGACTATTAAATTTGTTTAATTCTAAATGCTATTTTCAAGCTGATTTTTAAAATTTTAAAATAGTGAATTTAAATCATATAAATTGTTTTTTACCTAATATTATTTCTAATGAGTTTATGTAATTTATGATTAATTATATATTTTTATTTTAAGTTTTAGCTATTTTAAATAAATAGTTTAATTTAAGATTACATCATGGCGGATTTATAAAATACCCTAAATTTGTCTGTCATGTCAAATTAAATAAATATTTGACAGTCTTTTAGTCACCAAATTTCCCAAATTTATTAGTGAACAGTCAAAAATGAGCTCTAAAAAATTTTTTTGTACTCCAAATCTTGCGTCTAACCAATTTTTCCAGTGTTAAAGGTGCGTCATATTTGACATTTTTTAGGAAAAAAGCTTAATGTTTCTATAAGTCAATTTTAATTCTCGAGGGCGCAGCAGGGTTTTTGCCAAATTTCATAAATCCGTCGCAATGATAAAATTATAATTTGTATTTACAATTTTTAAAATATATAAATAATACTTTTTTTTCTTATTCTTTTACTATTAGATTTCTCCTAATGAAACAATTTAATAAGTTTAAGATTATGTAATAATTAAAATAATAAAGTCAAAATATTTAATATTATGCAAATTTTATATATATAAAATGTTGATTTAATTTTTAAAGTTGGATTGTCAATATTAATCCAATTATTATAATATTACTATTATTTAATTCTTCTTAATGAGATGAATTCAATGAGCTAAAGAATATTGAAATTTGATCATTTATTTTATTTTAATAAATACATCTTTATAATTATATATATATATAATTTTTAAAAACTAATATAATAGTAACTATAAGCAGTTTGTAACTATAAATGATAGATTTTATATATGAAAATTTGGGTTATTAATAAATATCATAAAAAAATCAAATATATTTTATTAGTAACATTTTGGTAAGTTTAAATATATTATAGTAAATTATATTAATATATAAATAATAATTCTTATATATAAAAATTCTTTTTAGTAAATTTCACGTCTAAATAATTTCCCAAAATAATTTTGAAAAAAGTGACTTTATCACTGAACCACATAAGAAAACCACATTTTTGTTTGCAAAAATAGAACTCTCAACTTTTAGTCTACAATATTCAGAAAAAACCTGGGATTTTTTAAGAAAATATTGGTTTCTTTCTTTTGTTTTGCTGGCTGTAGTAATAGTATTAGACTAGCTACGTCAAAAGTGTTTTTTCATTGTGTAGAAGGGCTAGGATCACTAATACGGATAAGTAACCTAATAGAATATACTTGAAACAGATTTATTAACAATAGTTAACAACAGTTTTTGCAATTTTCATTATTCAAACCTTTCAATTTTCTTTCATTTTGGTGCTGAATTCAATCAAAATGATCGACATGAAAAAGAGATTATCTATCAATATTACACATCTGGTGGTTGAAAGGCCAACATATTTTAGTAGTGCGAATAGATTATACAATTCTAATAAGGGTAATTCTTACACTCTATTGGATTTTGATTCTTTAAGGAAAAATAACACACAATTACAAGTATTCACAAATAATCAATGAATTATGGATAGGTACAAACAACCATATGACATTATTAGTGACAGAAAAAATGCAAATGTTAGATTTCGCATCTCCAAATATCTGACTGCGATAATGCTTGCATTACCAATATCATGAGCGATAAAAACTAAATACTTCACACTGGTAAAAAAATGGTCTATCCTACACATATGCTACACATATCTTACATATATCGGGTACTCAAAATGTAGAAAATCATACACAAATAATACACATATCATACACATATCGGGTACTTATATATATAGTATACCTATCAGGTACCTGATATATGTATGATATATATATTAGTACCCGATATGTNCAACTAATAAACAATCACCAAATGGTTCTATGGGTTGTTGTAATTGTTTGGCTAAATAAATCATACCCTGTCTCTTATACACATCTAGATGTGTATAAGAGACAGGTCAATAGACTGCATGCATTATTGTTAGAAAAATATCAATCATTAATCAAATGAGAACCCCGGATATCTAATATAAAGGTCATAATGGACTTTTGGCCAAAAACACCCTTTTTGCTGAAACTCAAAAAATCGTTTTTTGTAAATATCTCAGCATTCAGTGATTCAATTTTAATGAACTATTTTTTATTTTGTAGCCCTCATTTAGCTCTACAATCCAAAAAAAAGTTCATCAAAATTGGACTACTGGATGCCAAGATATTTACAAAAAACGATTTTTTGAACTTCTGAAAAATAGGTCAATCTGCTGAAAGTGTGACTTATAACCTGTTTTGGAGATATCTGGGGTCCTATCAAATGGTTAAGATTCACGTCATCCAGAAATAATGAAACAACAACCTATATTAGATTTTCAGTTAGACATATAACATGGTATTTTGGTTTCAGGCTGCTATGTAATATTTGTTCACAATTGTGTACTATAACTATGTCAAAAAATAGAAAAGTGGGTTGAAAATGTAAGAAACAGGTTATTCAACAACTACCTAAGGTCCTGCTAGGACCCGCTTACTTATAATAAAAGTCACTGTAGAAAATTGGCCCTTTATTAATAGTTTTTACCTTACTTTTTTCTTAAATTTTATTGGTTAATTAGCTAAAAAGGAAAAAAATCATAACAATGTAACATAAAATTTCCTTTTATAGTAGGATCTGCAAAGAATTTTATATATGATTTTTACCTTAGGCCTGGAGGTGACCTATCTTATAAGTAAGCGGGATTCTGTCTTGCTAGAGAATGCGATATTTAAGGATCCTATATATAAAGAAGAGAAGGAAATTTATCTGCCAAGAAGAGGGATAAGTTTTATCAAACAGCTTGCTTATAAAAATAAAAAGCTTTACAAACATTATAAAGGCAGTACTTCTATACAATATTAAGTTATTTATTCTCAGTATAGAGAAGATGACTTGGAACATGATACTAGAAAAGCAGAAACTCTTATGAAAAGAAGAGTTAGAGGACTAGCGAATAATAAGAGTAAGTGACAGATTCTTAACAATGGGATGTTTTATCTATACCACCCTTTCGCTTGTCTTACTATGTATTTAAAACAAGAGAAGCAGTGCTTAAAGAAGTATACATTAGATCAAGTGATCTAGTAAGGTTATACAGTAATGTTAACAGTAAACAACGTTTTAATAATCTAAATGACAAAATTATTCTCAATCATACTTATGATGAGGATGACTTTGCTATGATTAAAAGTTTTAAGGAAGAGCAGCTACCAGCTGTACATGTCCCAACTGATGAAGATTACAGATGTGTAGAACATTTATACACAAAAAGTAAATTAACGTTAAAAGAAGTAGATGAACTTCAAGATGAATGTGCTCGCTGAGATATCAAGTTTAATATGTCAAAATTGATTCATGGTACATTAAAAGAAGAAGTGAATTGACAGAAACTAAATCTGCTAAAAGGAAACGAAAGTATGAGGAAAAAAAGAGGTTACATGATAAGAAATAGCAATTATAGAATAGGAACAAAACCATTGGCTTTTGTATTTTAATAGTTTGAATTGTTCATTTTTATCTATTTTCCTTAAGTTAAACATTCTACACCTTACAGTATTTACATGTAGCTAACTAGTTTTTAGGTTAAAAAGAAAAATATGGGCTTAAATAAAGTTGCATTGGGCAAATTTTTAGGTAGATCTTGACAGTCACCTAAAATAATTGGTTGTATCATTGTCTTTAATAGTGATATAAGCATTTAGGTGACAGGTTGACTTTTTCTTTTAGAGAAGTAGTCTTTTTCATAATACCTGGTTCTTATATGTATTATGTTTTTCTTATTTTTATAAGTTTAGTATATGTAAGTAGGCGTAATTATATTAAGACAAGATCGCATCTATAAAAAAAAAAAAATAATTCTTATATATATATAATTTATAAAATAAATAATTTATTATAATAAATTTATATAAAACACCAATAAATAAAAAACCACAAATTAACAAAAATATAATTAATATATTTAATTGTTCTAATTAACATTGTACATCTTTTTTGAAAATAATCAAAAAAATTATATTGCAAATAAAAAAAATTGGAAAGTATATGATACAGAATTAAATACTTAAATACTGCAATGTAAATTATAAGTTAATAATGTAAAAAATAATATGACACACGGTGTAATTTATAACTTTTGAAAAGAATCTAAAGATTGTATATATCAAAACCTAGTTTATAAAATAATTTAAATAAAATTTAATTTATTAATTTAATTATTAAAGTGTATTTAAAAATTCTGTTAGTGAAATGGTTGCGAAAGAGTAAAAAAACCCGTGAATATTTTTACTTATTTATTTATTTATACATAAAAGTAAATTACAAAATCCTAAAATCCTTTACAATTTTGTTAAATATAGTCTAATAAATAAATTAAATAAGATCATCGTCTACCAAATTGTCGTTCCGGTCTTCGTGTAGGTTGAGAGGTCATAGAACGTGGCGCCCACTCTTGCGGAACAGTTCTTCCTCTGGTTTCGTTTCCACTTTTAATCCGGGGACCCATTCCAGGAGCCGATTGTTGTACTGGGGGACGATCATATGGAGTTATAGGCGAAGGCATTCCGTAATATTGGTTATCATAATAACCAGTACGTATTGTTTGATTATCATATCGAGTATAATCACGTTGACCTTCAATTCGTCTTTCAAAATCCATATACTTATTCATAGGTGGCATTAATAGCAACGATGGTGGCCCTCCTGTCCAAGCACCACTACCCATTTCCCATGCGGCACCAACAATACTAGCATTTGCATTATTACCCCTACCCATACCACCACCACCTCGTCCACTGTTACTAGCACCACGTGAAGCACCTCGTGCTGGCGCTGAACTGGTGCTAAGTCTCCTGCCTCGTCCTCTATTATTATTCGTATTTAATTGAGAGGTAGAAGTAGTAGTGGTTATTCCGCCTCGTTTATTCTGAAGTTGAGGGCGGTTACTAACATTTGTTTTCTTTTGCTGAATATTTGCTGTAACTGACACGGTTGGAGTCGTAGTCGAAGTAGTAGTAGTCATCATGTCGGGATGTTGTTGATTAACTGGAATCTTTCCAGACATAAAATCATCAACATGAACCGAAGGAGGACGACTAGTGTTGGCCTTTCTATTATTATGGATGCTTCGAAACTCATTTTTTTGATAAGTCTTTCCGCCGCCTAGGTTTCTTCGGGCATTGCTTTCATAAGCAATACCACCGAGCTTGCTTAAACTATGATGTACTTTAAGCTTTCTGCCTTTAGCTGTACTATCGCTAGGCATTTTCATTCTTTTATGAAATTGGAAATTCGGCAACATCTCTTTAGCAAAAACTTCGAAGTCTATTTCGGGTTCAGGAGCGTTAAATAATCCCCCTTTACCAACTTTTCCTTCAAAATCATCCACAACATCATAAAATGGGAAATCGGGATAGTCATCTAAATAATTATTATATATTCAGTTTAAAAAACGAGTAAATAATAAGTGATAGATTTCAAACTAATACTTACCGATAACTACTCCTATGCTTACTGATCCAACTTCTTGCCTTATTGAAATATTATGGTTATAAATCTCGTTAACAACTTGAGAAAGTCTAATATTAAATCTTTTAAAAATTTCATCAATATTCAGTACAATTGCATTTTGATTAAGTTCTTGGATATAGCCGTGTATATGATCTTTCAATCTTTTAATTACGTCAATCACTGATTGATATAAATGAGGATCATGCATTTCTTCGTCTATATTATGGGATTCATATGAAAGTTCGATAATATGTTGCTCAATATTTTCGTATGACTTGAGAATAGTTTCAGCATCTTTAGATGAATTGATTAATATAGGCAAAGATCCTAGATTCTCTTTTAGAAAAGGGATTTCATGACGTAATGATTCAGGAAGAACATATCCGATTATAATAAGGATAAAAACAACGGAATGATATGCAATATTTAGATCGTGCATTCGCAGATCTTGCGATCGCAACAAGTCAGGAACCCAAGTTATCATATTGCTAATTAATTGAAGGTGATCCTTTTTTTTAAGGATTAATAATCCACCTAATTCCGTTTCTGCAATTTTCTGCAGGATTAAAAGCGAATGAGTTTGGAGTCGACCATTTTTCCCTTGTTTTACCCACTCTAACAAATTGTCTATAATAATTGAAAGATCTTCTAATCTTGGCATGTTTTTTCCGGAAGCAGTTATTGCAGGATTACACAACAAGAAAAAAAATTCCATAATAATATCACAAATAAAATTCACATGGTTGATAGATGGAACAATATCCAACAAAATTTTTACAAGATCGTGTGAATTCTCGAATGATTCCTGATCATCTAACATCATAGCATCATCAGTTATGTTATTGACAGAATCGAGAAGTAATGATCTTCCAGATGAGTATCCGCATATGGAGGTTAAAAGACTCATCCATCGTCCAAATATTGTCCGCTTCGTTTGAATTTCTGAAGAGGTATGCGTATCTTCAATAACCGTCTCATATTCTTCTCTTTTGAAATCATCAATAGTATCATCAATGCCAAAATTTCGCTTTTCAGGTTTTTCAATAAGTAAGTTTAATTGTTCAAAGGCATCACGTACACCATTAACAATAACAGCTACAATTCCCCTGCCTATGCCACGATCCAAGAAATCTAAATCAACTAATTGACATATGACAGTACGGAGCATAATATGTAATATTTTTGAACTTGAAGGAGCCATACTTTTAGTGAGATAAATTAAATCATCTCGTAAAGGAAGTAATTGTTTAATCCAATGTTGTCGCAATATACGTGCTTCTCGCTGAATTTGTGGCCAATTAGTAGAAAACCCGTCGCTTTCTAAGTTTTGTTCTATAGAAGTATCAACCATACTTTCAGAGACATGTAAATCCCTTATACAACGTTGAGAAAGCAACGGTGTCGGTAATATCTCACTCAAAATATGTAATCCACTAAGAAAGTTGTTAGGTCCTTCGAATATAAAATCACATAATTGTTTGACTACATAACGACCAGTAAAATCTGAAAAGAAACGAGCTCTATATTGTGGCTCTTGCATTTCATCATCACGTTGTAAGGGTTTTTCTTCAATAACAATCTCAGTAAGTAAACCAAACAAACTCAAAATAAGACCACGAATACGTGCAATCTGTGCAGATTGACCATTTTTCAGTGTTTGACTATTGCCAAGTAAAGAAGTAGCTCCAAGTTGATCACTTAAACGTCCGTCTAAATGATCTAGAGCAGATACAAGCATAAGCCATGGCTCAACACACATCCGAACCATTGATTTTTTTTGAGACGGTAAAAGATCATCTGGAGATTCATTTTCACCATATATATCCCTAAAGTGTCTTTTAGCTACACTTTCGTCAGGGTCTCCATAAACAAATCGAAGAAGCCTTCGTACTAATGTCAAATTATTCCAAGCTAGATCAAGTAATTCTCTTCGGAGTTCAAAAACTTCAGAAGAAAACATAATACTGGTGGATTCATTTCTGTTTTCACTAGATTTTAAAATTTCTTGAGCTTTAGGTTCATCGTAATTTTCAGAGTTTAAACAATCTTGGGCAACTGCCGTAAAAGTAGATTCAGATGTAGATTGATGTTCTGTATACTCGTCAAAATCATCTAAATCGGATAAAACTTCAGCAACGTGATTTAAAAGCCTTAATAAGAAGACTAAAAAATTGTCCCCATTATCAGATCCGCTAAAATCATCCATACGAGCTTTCAAAATATGTAGAATACCACTTTCAGCATACGTATATGACATTAAAAGTCGAAGTGAAACAAGAATCTGATTAACAGAATTGTGATCTCTTAAACATTCAGGATAATACTTTTGATGTTTAATAACATTGATAACTCCTTGAATATTTCCTGTTTCGTGAAAGGCGGCAATTGGATACCATAATGCACGTAAGCTGTTTTCGGAAGAAATAAATTGGTTCACAAGCTCATGGATTTGTGGTGTTAATAAAAACGGAAATGAACGAGAGAATTTTATAACAACTTCCAAAAGTTCCAAAGGAATACGTCCAAGTGCATTAAAATCAGTACATGGAACGGAAGCCGATAAATGTTCTTGCATTGGATTAATATTCACGAGAGATAAAACAGTCGGTAGACCATCGAGGTTAATTAATGTGGATGCCACGGCCTATCAATGTCAATTTTCTTTTTAGAACTATCCATCACTATATATTATTCAGTGACATCATAATAATTAAAAGAAATAAAGTAATATGAACCTGTTTTCCAACGTCAAATGTAGTTAATTCGAATAAATCACTTAATAAATCCAATATTTTAACATAATCTGTATAAGAATGGTTTTCTACTCCTCTTCTTCCATATTCCAGCAATCTCTCAATGATGGAAACAGCATGTAGTTGATAAGTTAATAATATAATTAATTGATCAGATGGAATAATACAATTATCAAAACAATCTGTCCTTGCACCAACAGCACCACAGCTTTGCATTCTTAAAACCTGTCGCGCCTTTTTCAAAATAAAATCATCATCCTTTTTGCTGATGTGATCATCTTCGTTATAGTCGCAGATATAATCATAGTCTTCATCGTAATTTCCACCAGTTATGGATTGACCAAAACCAAGCCATATATCTCCAACTCCTGGTGTTCGCCTTAATTCGTTTATATTTGACCAGCTGCCATTTATTACCGGAGAAGAATTTGAAAAAGCTTCAAACGATTCCTCCTCCATTGAAATGCCAACATCATTATGACGACATAAAACGGTTGACAAAACAACTAATAAACAATCACCAAATGGTTCTATGGGTTGTTGTAATTGTTTGGCTAAATAAATCATACCAACCGGAGATCCTAACAAAATAACGCATAATCGACCAATAAAATTAACAAGTTCATGGAATCTTGAACATGAACGCACTCGATGTGATGATATAATCGTTGTAATGGCTGAAAAAAAACGACAGGAAGTGAGATATTTAAAAGAAAAAATGGATGGATAAACTTGACCGACTTCTTCTCCCGAATGTAAAGCCATATGATATAAAACCGCTTTAGAAATAATATGCAAACAATTGCTAATTCGATCGATGATCAGTTCAAGATCATCTAATTCCTGTACATCATTATCTGAAATCGAAAGATTGCTATACATTTGATTATTATAATTATTCATTAATTCCTTTTTTTTTGTTTTCGTTTCGTTATCCGCCAACTGTTGGATAATTGTACAAGCTTCGTATATAGATACTTTACGTACGATAGCTTGGAGTAAGCGTAAAATTCGTAAGGGTAGACTTTTGATTTGCAACATAGGTAAAATAAAAGTCTTGTATAAAGTATCTTCATTATCATTATCGTTATTACTACATTCCAAAAATTTTTCAACAACTCCCGGTTCTCCTAGACACTCCAATAAACCGCGGAGTATAATTGTTTGTAAAGTTGAAGACACAAACTGTTCTTTTAGAAGAGGAACCACGAGTTCGAGGCAGGTTTGGATCTTAATGAATGAATTGATATTTAAATTGTTAAAAATTTCAAATTTCCATTCATTTGAAATAAATTCATGCTTATTTACCATTGAAGAATCAATAATATCTTCTCCACATGCACATAGTTTGCAGAACAACGATAGGCCATTTTCAAATAATTTCACGGTAGACTATCAGATTGCGTCACATGAAATTAGAACTGATAAATTATAGCCAGCACCAACTTTATATGCATGGACATTAATAATAGAATTTTCTAGTGAAAAACAAAACAATCAGTGATTTTCACCTTTCCTGTTGTCATGTCAAGAGCGAACAATATGCCTTTATATACTGTTTTCAATTCGTCTGTAGTATGGTAAATTATTAGATAATGTCAAATTTATAACAATTACAATAACAAGTCTAATTTCTTACCATCATATCGAATCCCATCGTGCCTTGCCCAGAGAAGTCCTTCCACAATTACATTATTTATTTGATGAAGTAGCCCTTCAAACGAAGTTGAAGTACTTTCTATGTACGAATTATGATTTATTTTATTTTTATTATCAGAATTCATCATTGATAAGAATGAATGAATTTGCTTGATATAATTGTTAAACTCATCCCAAGCTTTATTGAACATTCTTTTCGACAAAGATTGCGAAACCTGTGATAAAAGTGTTTCATCTGGTGATGTGTGATACTACCATATGAGAAAAAGTTTATAAATATCTAGTTACTTATTGTTTATTAATCATACTTAATCGAATCTCCGTATTATTATTTACCACAAGTATATCTCTGCTTAATTTTTCATCCAAATTCCAGATGGAAAGATCGACAGCTTTTGCTGGGGACAATATACTGAAAGTTCCAGTTCGATCTTTATTTAATAACGTTCCTATCCTATCAGCATCAGAATTGGTATCTCTATGTCCATCGTCCAAATAAAATGTATCTTCTTCCATCGGTGTTGTAAATTGGTCTTCAGTAGTTTTTAGCTCGTCAAGAACTTGTACTGATGAATTAGAATTTATTACAGAGATGGCTTGTTCTTTATGAACACTGTCCATTACATTCATATCATGATTGTAAACCTCTTGAGGTTTCATAGAATCCATTTCGTCAATTTTTTCTTCGTTTTCTTTTTTAATTGATATGTTTCCAAGTGAATCATCTTCTTCAGCTTTTATCTCTATATTATTGCCTATTGGTGACGATTGTACAAGTTCTGCGAATGACTGAGTATTAGCTAAATCAGTTCCATTAAGAAAGAATGTATCCAAATTAGAATCTCTTTTATTATGTTGATTTTCACTAATTGTAGGTGCACTTATTTGATCCTTGGATTTAATATTTTGAGGCTTGCCACTTTCCATAACTTTCCCATAAATACATAATGTTACAGATTGGTAATTTCCACGAAGAATTATAAAACGCGTAGTAGCCTATATTTAAAAATACAAATATTTTATTAAATAAATTTGTAATTCATAACAATAATAGCCGATTTACATACTTCGGGTAACAGAGTAACATCATAACTAAGGAATCCTTTCTTTTCGTCAAAAGATATCGTTAAGGGATGTAGAGGTAAAGTTGGTGGTCGCTTTTCTGGCGGTTTAGCCGAATCAGCAGTAAGAGTTTTATGAATGAGAAGGTTTAGATCGAATTTATTAGGAGAAGTTTGTCTATGAGATATCGAAGTTGAGAAAATTATAATTATTAGAAGTTTAAAGGAAGTATTAAGAAATTTTGCGGACTTACCCTACGTGATCATTTTTACGACTGCCCTTAAATGGACGAAAATGTTTTGGTACCACTCTTATCTCTGACAAAACAACACGTTGATGAAATCTTATGCATTCTGTTGGGAGTTCGTCGCCACTAAAATTACTTGCTGTTAACGTGTCAAAAAACAGAAGCTGTGAGCTAGATTTCTGAACATTTGAAACGATTTCAGCAGTCATATTTATGAAAAGATTTCTATTTCTCAAAAGCTGAAAAAAAAAGTTATTTATATGATAAAAGAATTCTGATTGGATAATTAATTTTCATTTATTATATAATAGGATAAATTTTTATTATTCATTTGGTTTTTTTTTACATTTGGAATTATACTTATTCTTCATATTATTTAGGATTATTCTCAAATAAATAAATATCAGTTCTTTTTAAATAAATTCTCTTCTTTTCCTTTTCCAAATTCATCCTCACTTTTAGTACGAGATGAAGGACGGTTAATAATATCACTTTCAATATCTTCCACGCAAGGAAGCACACTTTTCACGTTCTGAAAGACTTTAGAATCATGATGGTAGCAAGCAGTCCGTGCTAATGGAGATGAAGTCATTATAGTTTGATTAGCTTGATCGGAAAGTAACAAATTATCGCCACTTTGTTGTACATCAAATGACAACGGGGTTGAAGGGCGAGAAGTTGGAGGAGTCGAGTGAGGTGTAGTAGATGGAGAGATAGAAAATTTATCTCTAAAAATCGATTGAATAGACCCAAATTTTTCAAAATAATTCGAGGAAGGTGTTTGCTTTGTTTGTGCGTTCTTTTGAATAGTGTTTTCTACACTATTCTTATTTGTTAAGCCAAGACACTCTTGACTTTCAATTTTTTGGAGTTTCCTGTGATTTTTTTCTCTTAAACTAGCCGTATCATGGTGTAAACCAAATATTGTCTCCATTATTATTACTAAACAACGAATTCTGAATTCTAAATGAAATTTGTTGCATATATATAATCATCGACTTCATTATTACATATTAGGAAGTGCGTCTGAGCTAACCAACATTAGTTTCTAATTTATACTAATATATTTAAATTTTGCTAATTCCGGATTCAATTTTTTCCATCTCTAATAGTGATTGTTCCAAAGAAGTCAGTTCCTTCCTTCCTCCCTTTAGTTTTTTAATCATTTGCCGATCTTCTATTGCGATAGAAGTGTATTTTCTTTTAAATTCATTAAGTAATTGATTTCTACATATGAACAAGTTATTATTTTCTTTATCAATCTTATTACTTTTAATACAAGGGACAATCATACGTACTTGCGTATAAACTGTGTTTCTAATCCTTGAGTCAAATTAGTTTCATTTTTAATAATTGCTTTGTGTGTCGCCTGAAATAAAGCAGCATCTTGACTACGAAATTGTCTAAAAATTGTCTACATTTAATTTATCAAGATTAGTAAAATTTTTATTTAATTATGTTATTTATAGATTAATTTTATTACCTCGCCAACACATTGCAATAATCTTCTAATTTCCTCATCGAATTTCTCATCTGCGTATCTGTTATTAATTGAAGTGACGTCACTAATCTTATTATCATAGGTTGCATTTTTTGAACAATTTGTTTCATTATTGTTACTAATTGTAGGTGAACTGTCTCGTGTATGCAAAATATATTGACCTATTATAGTAAATTTAGAAATGAGAGTATGAGACGTTGAAAGAAAACACTTAAAGCCTAAAAGGATAAAATATTATATTCAAATATTAACCTCCATTTTCACCATTATTAATATCTTCGTCATCACTATCTAAAGATCCTTTCAATTTTTCTATAAACGAAACTATTGTACTTATTGTTACTATTGTTATTAGAAAAAAAAATTTCGAAAATGATATAAAACCTCTTTTTTTTTCATTATTGGATTTTGAGATCGGCGTGTTTTTTCCCATTAATTCACGAAAAAATTCCATAGCTGAAATTATAATAATAAATGAAAAACTATAATTTTATAATGCAATAAATAAAGAATATTTACGAAATTGTGCTCTCATCCGTTCAATAGCCTCCTCATCTTCGGTTGAATCAGTTGTATCATATTTCGATGGATTCCAAAATTCTTCTTCGCTCTTAATTGGGCTATTTCTATTATCGATCTTTTCAAACAATATAATGTCAGTTATCGCTAAATGTTGATGAAATTATGCACTTGTAATCAGACAATCACCTTTATTTGTTCTTTATTCTTTTTAAATTTATTATTGAATCTCGGCTTTTCCGGGTTGTCTTCAATTGAATCTTGCGTCTTTCTTTTCCTTTTTCCATGATTAAGGTTTCTAGTATTTTCTGTAGACACTAAGTTGGAAATTTCATAAAAGTGAAATTCTTGTTGGTCATCAGCTACATTATCTGCTGTTTCGTTGTTGACGTCTTGAATTTGTAAAGTGTCCTGCTTTGTAGGATCTACACGAGAAATTTGATTGGTTTCTGCTTTTTCTAAAAAAATTTTATATTAAATTTACCGCATTCTAATCTAAACAGGAACAAACTACCGTATCTATGCGTTTCTAATCTAAATTGAGCATACTTTTCTTAACCATATCATTAGATAATTTATCTTCATTCGTACCTTCTTTCATACTATCTCCTTTGCTATCTGTTTGTTTTTTTAAATTCAATGGCTTAGATCGTCGTTTTGATGATTGAAAACCGTTGCGACGCTCAGTATCAAGGATTTGCAATTTAGCATGAGAATGGTTAGAGGTAGTAGAAGTAATTCTTTTGTTTTTAAAGGTTTGCTTTTCCAAAGGATTACTGGCACTAAAAGAAAGTTCGGTATTATACATAGCGATACAGCTTTTAGTTAATTCTGTATTAGGCTCGAAAGGCGAAGATTCATGGTCTAAATTTGCATCTTTTAATAATTTAATAATTTGTTTATCGATTGTTCCATTTTTGGGTGTTTTAGAGGCTTTTGACGATTTTGAATGACCATATTTTGCAAGATTGAATTTTGGTTGTAAAACTGGAGATGTTGGCACCCTTGGTATCTGGATCTTTTTTTCCTATTTTGTAGCAAATTGTATCTTTATTATTGAACATTACAAAAAAAAATGGAAAAAAAAACTTACTACGTGACGATCGGCAAACATAATTTTTAAGTCGTCTTTTACATCATTATCAAATCTTATAAAAATGATAACCTCATTATCAGAAACCGAAAATATCCTTCTATTGCGTATACCAACCGAGTATTGGCTACCGAGCTTTAAATGCCCGGAAAGGTACAATCTGAGAATGTATCCTAAATAATCATTCGTAATATTCGTAATTACAAATTTGCCGTTCGATTGTTAAATATATAAACACGATCAGAGCTTGCCTTTTGACACTAATTGAAGATCCCACGTTGATATTTTTGAGTATTTGATTTCTAGCGTATCATTATCCACAGAATCATCAGCCTATAATAACGTGAGTTAGTATATTGTAAAGTGGACAAATTGGCTAAGCTGTTTAAAGATAACCTCTGTTGATTTTATCGTTGTAGATATTGTCCATTTATTGAAATCAACGAAAAACTGATCTTGTCCCTCCGGATAATATAATTCATTTTGATTATATTTTATTTGTGATGCCACGAGTGTCTTCGGCCTGTCGTTAAATATTAAAAGTTATTTTATCATTTATAAACTGCATAACATAATATGGTTATTATTTTGTTATCACAAACGTTGTGGATATGCCGTCGTTTGATTCATTGAGCGAATTCAAGAAATATCGAGTACCCTCAATTTTAATAATAAAAGGAAAACTTGTTAAAAAGATTTTCATTTATTCTTAAACTTTATATATTGAATCTAATATTTACTCCGAAAAAATTATCAACCGTTATTGTTAGGAATTTTTGAATCATATCTTTATGAGTCGCAAATGCTTTGTTTACAAAGGTTTTCCGATCTTCTTGTACCCTGGGACAAAGTCTAAATAGTATCTCGAGATGGCAAAGTTGGAGCTCGTAATCTCATTTTGAATAAAAACAAAATAAATTATTTTCAATTGATTTCAATAAACATAATAAATATGAAACAGTAATATTAAATACCCGATGCAGTTACCATGGAGGAGACTAGATCTGAACTAAAAATAATTTTAAAAGTTAAGGCTTGATAAATAAGATAAACATATTTTTACATGAAAGGATACGCGTCGAAAAATTCCTCTTGGCTTAAAAATTTTTTATTCTCCTTGCATCCAGTCAAAAAGGCGTTTATTACATCTGCACTCTATAAAATTCAAAATATTCATTTGTATATTTTAACGGTTGATTAAGTCAAATTTTCTTACCGTTTTTCGTAGATCAATTGGTAGCAAAGAATTTGTTAATGTTTCTATGAGAGGTTTTAGGCAAAGTTTTCCCAGTATTTCACGGTCTTTTTGCAATATATAGGTCGTCATTAGCTTGTTGAGTGATGAACATATTAACAATTTATATACCTCCATCTCCATGCTGAATAAAATTCTGATAAAAAAAGAAATTTTAATAATTATATTTTCCTTATTACAAAAATAAATTACATTGTTCACCTCGATCAGTGTTAGTGAGTCAATAGCAATTTTCTCCCAATCATTGTCGTCTCCATTTTTTAACAAACCTATACATATAATGATTTTTACCGTATAGTTTAAACAATTTGTTGCTTTTTTCGTAATATCTGCAATATCTTTATATTTATTAAACACTCCTTCGAATGAATTAATTGCTTGTCGAAAATCTTCCGGCTTCATATTATAAAGATAATTTGGTCTTGAGCGCTGATGAAACGCAATAAAGAGGAAATTAGTCTCCCGATCATATAACAGATGATTATAAACAAACCAAATGATAAAATCTTGCCTCCGCCTCTTCTAATATTTTATGAGTTTTCTGAAGTACTGTCTGCAACCTGTGAAGTAAATTTTATTAATATAGAACAGCGTGTATGAAATACAAATTTAATAATTACTCTTTAACAGCCGGGCTATTCTCTTTTCTTCGAGGTCTACCACGTCTTTTTCTTTCGTTCTCCAGGAATAACTTAGAATTAAGTACATTGCTCAATTCATGGAATGCAGCTTTTAAAGGGTGAGACATTGTTATTATTATTTTATAAATAATAAAATCGAAAAGTATGAAAGAAAAAATAAATGTAACTGCTAAATTAGTTTGTGGAAAGCTTAATAAGTTTAAACGTTTTTATATCGTTAATTATAAACTACTGCAAGACAATTGAATCATTGATATACTCATCGTGTTTTTAATTATGAAGTTTAATTAAAAGACGAATTTAATGATTATCATGAAAATTTACATATAATAATTCAAGAAAAGAACAAGCGCAAATACAAGCAATCAAAATTCATAGACTACATTATATTAACAATTTTCCCTTGCTACAAAACTTATATACAGAGAAACCCATGTCGTTAAAAAAAGGACAAAAAAGAAATTAACAATAAAATACAATATAACAATTGGCTGATGAAGATGGATCATTTAAAGCTTGTTAATCTTATCTATAAACAAGATTAAAAGGATAGAATGGAGAGAAAAAAAATTGAAAAGTCAAAACTTAAATCGACAAAAATACTTATGACGATAATACAGAATTAAAATAAAATAATATAACACTAACGTTCCGGCCAATTATATTCTTGTGTCGGCCTCTTGAATCCATATTTAGATACAAACTCTTCAATACCAGGTGGACCACGTGTACCGTATGCGTAAGGTTGAGGAGCAATTTTTTCATTATCAATTTTATGTAAAAGTGGTGTAAAAATCTTCCAGGCGGCATCTAATTCATCGTCTCTCACAAAATTGGAATGATCACCTTTCAACACATCAAGTATCAATGCTTCATACGCATCGGGAATCTTCAAATCTGAAAATCTTCGATTGTAGCTGAGATCCAATTCAGATATCACTGTATCCATGGAAAGACCTGGTAATTTATTTGTCATTTTCATATATACAGCCTCATTGGGTTGTACGCGAATAACTAACTCGTTGCGGGGTGCATCCTTGAAAACGTTCCCCGGTACATCTTGGAATTGGACACGGATTTCGGTTTTTTGTTCATTTAATGCTAAAGAATATATAATATAGTTAGTAATAAATTTCATAAAGCAGTTAAAAAAATTCGTAAATTCTTACCTTTTCCACATTTTAAGATGAAAGGAACACCTTCCCAACGTTCATTATTGACCCATAATGTACATGCCGCAAAAGTAGGACATGTGCTGCCAGAAGGAACAGTTTTATCCTCCAGATATCCGATTTTGCTATCATCATCTTCCGATCTTGTATACTGACCAAGAATAGAATCTTCAAGTTTTACAGGAGGGATACAACGTAACACGCGAACCTATTTCAAGTCACGTGAAAGCATTAACTTAAAGGGTAAAAAACAAAAATACTGCGATTATAGCGATTATAGCGATTATAAACCTTTTCGTCACGGACATCTTCAGCGCTTAATGATAGAGGTCGTTCCATAGCAAAAATACTCAATATTTGTAAGAGATCTATTAATCAATTGCATACTTGAATGAGCTTAAAAAGTTACATGATAATACATCGTTGCAGAAAATCAATAAAATCAATTCGTATTTCGTGAGTAGACTACAACACACGCTAAAACATATTTTGAATAAGTTTATTACGCACGGTTTTGCATTACATCACGGATAATACCGAATTCATCGAAGTAACCGCCTCGACCTTCGGTTCCGATCTTTTCTTTGAAAGTAATCTGGACGTTAGCAATGCTTTGACGATTCCAGATAGCCCCAAAGAAAACATTTGCGAAGCGAATGATCAAGAGATTTTTAACCATTTCTTTACCAAGATAATGGTCAATACGATATGTCTGTCACGTGCGTGAAAATCGATTATCTCAGATTAATTTCATTGTGCAACGTTCACGCATTGCAAAGATTGAAAATATAATTACCTCCTCCTCTTTCCATAAGGGAGCCAAAGCCCTACCCAATTCACGAGAACTTTCCAAATCCATTCCAAAAGGTTTTTCGACAATCAAGCGATTAATACCTTTTTTAGAGTAAACATTTTTCTTAAGTCCTTTCGCTACAGGAACAAAAACGCTAGGAGGCAGAGCCATATAGAAAACTCGATTTCTTTCTTCATGTATATTAAGGCTTTCAGCTTTTTCAACAGCTTTATCCAATTTTTGATAATCTTCATCTTTGTCGTATTGACCAGAAACATAAGTACAAAGTTTTAAGAATTCAGAGAGCTGGTTTTTAATTTCGTCATTGAGAATTTTCATGTGTCCAGTAATACGTGCATGAAATTCCGTAGAGTTCAATTTCGTTCTGGAATAACCGATAATACTGGTCCCTTCCGGAAGGAATCCATTGCGATAGAGACCAAATAATGCCGGATAAGTTTTCTTTTTCGCAAGATCACCAGAAGCACCAAGCACTGACATAAATTATATAAATTATAGTTTATACGTATAATTTTTGTTAATTTCAATTTCAACCTACCAATGATTGTAGTAGTACCACTTAATTTACTATCAGCCATTATTTTTTTTTTTAAAAAAAAAAGGTTCGCAAGATCTTAATGGATATTTATAAAGAATAATTAAATAAAATAATTTCTCACGCTACTTAATAAAAATGGTTTCACAAATTTTAAAAAATTTAAATTTAATAAATATGAAGTAATTTCCGTGTTTCAAGTTCCTGCAACTATTTCTAAACGGATTAAAAATGTAAAATTTTATGTGCATGTGACTTGACTTTTAATAATCTGTCAAACATATCATTTGTAATCACTGTTTATGAATGATAAGTCACGTGGTAGTCTCAAAGATTGATTTTAAAGGATGATCTGAATCATCTGAATCATCTGAATCTATTTCTTTGATAAGAAATAATGAACAAGCCACCACGAGGAAAACGAGGTGCCATATTAAAGTTCTCTTTTTTTTTTTTAAAAGGACCATTGTTTATAACTTAGTTTAGCATTCTCTTACAGTCGCAAGTCGTCCAAATTCTGCAAGATTTGCGTCACAATATGGACCTCCGGATAAAGTCACTGGTAAGAACTAGAATTGAAATAAAACTAAATTCTGAATTTTTAATGTTTGTTTAACCCTTTATTAATAATTATTAGAAATGGGATTATTTCTTCACGCATGCGAGGGTGATATGGTATGCAAATCAGTCAACACCAAAATTCCATATTTTAATGCTCCAATCTACTTAGAAAACAAGAATCAGATCGGAAAAGTCGATGAGATCCTTGGACCGATGAATGAAGTATACTTTACAGTCAAATTGGACAAAGGCATAGTTGCAACTTCTTTTAAGCCAAATGATAAAGTATATATTGGTGAAGATAGGTTATTGCCTTTAGAGAGATTTTTGCCCAAACCTCCTGCTCCAAAAAAAGGTAAAATTATGAACTATTTTAAATATGAATAATGGCTTTTATAATTTTTAATTTCGTTTTTAATTTTAATAGTTACGAAGAAGACACCTGCTGGACGTGGTCGGTATTATAATTTTATTTATTTAATAAATAAATTTTAATTAACTTTTTTATAATTAATTTTATAGCTAGAGGTAGGGGAGGATATCAAAGAGGCGGACGTGGAGGTGGACGCGGAGTTGGAGGCTTCAGAGGTGGTCGTGGCGGTCGTGGCGGTAATCGTGTTGGAGGGCGCGGCGGAATGGGTGGACGTCGATTCTAAAAAAAAAAAAAAATTGTAAACATTATCTTTTATCTTTACTTATTTAAGGATTGAAAGTTAAAACAGGTCTTAAAATCAAAACGTATTTTCAATCATCAATCAATAAACTTTGTCAAGTAAAGATCTAATTTTTTAAAAATGATTTGCAAGCCAACTTAAATAAAAGGAAATCGGTAGTGTAACCCAATTGTTTATTAAGCTAATAAAGCTGGCTTATCTCATAGCTATGTAACCAGCAGCCCATGTTTCAACCTTAAATACAACTTAGTATGTTAAGGATCTTTTACGCGATTAAATATTCAGCTTTTCTTTAAAAAAATAGAATATAGGCGAATGAATTGCCTCCAGCAATGGAAAAAATACACTTTACAACGAAAGCATCTAATTATATTAAAGAAAAAGTTTTTACCTCAATAGTTACTAAGAAGACAGAATTAGAAATTAATGAGGAAGTAAAAGAAGAAATAAATGAGCTTTATGTGGACACTCAAACTTCAATATCTTTTCAGGAACATAATGCTGCTGAAGTAGATACTTTAATTGGTTTACAAAATTGTATCTTGATACCATCATATGCCTCTCGCGTGGTAAACGAAAATGGATATTCTGAGTGGCTGGTGCGAGTTCATGGCTGGGCCTATGGGACCAGTCAAAGCCGCAAAAAGAAGTTAGTATTGGGAATGGCGAGACGCGTTGCAGGATTGAATAAAGATGATGAAAAAAGCAAGTTATTAGAGGATAGGATTTCTATGTTTTTAACAAAAAATCTCCGAAATCAACGGTACAAAGTGCAAATAGTCAGTTTGGCCCATCCATCACATATGGAGCTAGATGAAGACCCCGATAAGGTTGATACTAATGTTGATGATGACGACGACTGTGACGACGACAACGACGATGATGACACAAGTAGCAATTTGTCTGAAAATACTGGGAATTCTACATTAACGAATTGTCAGGATCTTCATCCATCAATTTCTATCACAAGTAATACGGGACATTTTCATAATATTATTAGAATTCCAGTAGAAATTGTTGACGAATGGGTGATCAAAGCTCAAAAAGAAGGAAACGGAGATGGGAATCACGTGAGATTATTGAAATTAGAAGCTTTACCGGAAAGTGAAGGAAGAAGACATGGTATGTATTTCGATATGTATTTATATATTCTGTTATATTAATCGGTTAGATTTACATCTTTAGCTCGGCCATCATATGGGACCGTAAGTTTAATTGAAGATGAAGGGATCTCTGTCATATCAGTACGTCAATTATTAAAGAAATTCTCAATTTCACATATACTATACTGATAATAAATTTCTGATTTTAAAGGATATTGATGATACAATAAAACTTACAGGCGTATCAAGTGGTCCACGTATCGCTCTCTCAAATACATTTTTATACGAGTTATGCGAAGTATATAATAATAATAATATTATTATTAATTTTTATAACGTAATTTTAAGTTTATTTCATTTTTTTTTTTTATTAAACTAGGTTCCTGGGATGGCAGATGTGTATATGGACTGGGTTAGTATACGGATAGTTGTAATCTTGACTATATTCGCGAATTTATTCATATTTTTTTTTGTTTTATTAGTATAACAAAGGTGCATCGATTCATTATGTTTCAAATTCTCCGTGGCAACTATTTCCTATGCTTAAGCAATTTTTTCATATAAAACGTTTTCCACCTGGCTCAGCACACTTAAAATTCTATAATGATTTGGTAAAAAGTCTTCTTGAAGAACCGGGATTGACGAAAAAAAAATACATTGAAAAAATTTTCAAAGACTTTCCTCGTCGAAAATTTATTCTTATTGGAGATAGTGGAGAATATGATATGGAAATGTAATTAGTTTATTTAACCTTTATTTCACAATAATAAATTTTACTAATAATTTGTTGATGCATCTATATGTGTATATTCATTTAATTTTAGATATTCAAAGATAGCGAGTACGTATCCGGAACAGGTCTTGCATGTGTTTATTCGAGATGTATCATCAGAGAGTCTCAAAAAATTATCGGAATCATCCACTAAAAGATCGCGATCATTTCCATTCATTTCCACGCGCTCTTCTTCTAATGTACCAATTCGTACAAAGACAATGCCACCAGCAGTAGATACATCCAAATGTAACAATAACTCTAACATTATTAGTGATATAGATGAGATGTTACATTCGCCAGAAACTTTAGCTTCAGTAACTCCTGACACACTCTTACAAAAATTCTATGATAAAGTTGAAACGTGTAAAGCGTTGGTGCCTAACAGTGCGTTTACACTTTTTAAGGATAGTCGGGAGCTGAGAGAGAATATGATAGTCAATAGAGAATTTGAATTATTATTAGAGAAACAACGGCAGAGACCATCTCGACAGAATACACATATTGATTTAATTTAATTAATTAATGATCTTTTTTTTTTATTTTATATTGAGTAAATTACTGCGGCATCGTATTGTCATGTGATTGTAGTTTTTTACCTAATAAACGTTATTATTGGATCTGTTAATTTTTTCTCTGTACTTGTAAGACGTTTTTTGTCTCTGGCTTATCGAAATTAAAATTTTATAATCAACTAAAGTTTCATACCATTATTTCGATGAATTCCTCAAATTATAACCCATATACCATGAAAGTTCCTCTTCAAAGTCAACAACAAACTGCTTACAGTTATCAACCTCAGCACTCATATCGACAACAAACCTACCAACACTTAGTACCTACTCCACAACAATACTCTTATAACCAGCCTCGTCGTCCTGTGTTTGCACCTGCTTATTACACGACTTCATACGGACGTTCTTTGCCAAATAAAAGTGCTCATACGCCCACAAACGGTTCTTTTACACAAGCTCCACGAAGGGTTACGCGACGGGGTAATTTTTACATAAATTTTCTACTAAATATCTTATATCAAATTTATTAAAGTTGCGATCTACAAACGCAAAAAAATGAAACTTTCTAGCTTCTGAAACAATGAATTTGCAACACAATATGATTTCGAAAACCAACTCGTCAAAAAAAAAATTTTATAGCACTTATGCGAGTCGTTTAAAGCAAGGGAATACCGCTTTAGTCTTACCAATGATAAGAGGAGGGAAAAAACGACAACGTGGAGGTGGGCACGGCTCTCTTGCCGAAGATTCTGATGACGTAGCAGACCTATTTGAAGACGAAACTAGAAATACGCCACCCTTGGAAAAACGTTCTGCAAACGGAGTAACTGCAAATGGTGATATTCCTGTTGTGAAGCGGGCAAGAAGTAGAACTAAACATGTATACAAGTAAGAATATTTTATTCATTTATTTATTATTATAAATCTTTTTTCGAATAATATAAATTATTTTATTTTATAATAGTTCTCACAAAGAATTGGAACGCAATGCAGAGCAGAAAGAAATCCTAATACCTATAAAACTAGATTTCGATATCGGAACTCATAAGTTACGTGACACGTTTACTTGGAATCTTAATGGTAATCGTAATTTAAATTTAAGTTTTATTGAAAATTATTAAATAGTAATGTGCAAAAATTTTCTTCTTTTAGAAAAATTGATCACGCCAGAACATTTTGCGGAAATAATGTGTGTAGACTTGGATCTTCCATCTTCTGAATTTGTTACAGTTATTTCAGATACCATTCGTAAACAAATTCAAGAAAATGAAATGATGACCGATTGTAATCCACCAAAGGATGATAGTAGGGTCCTTATTAACGTATGTATAAATTCATCATAACGTAAATTAGTAGCTATTTAAGTAATTATTTTGTATGTGATATTTAGCTTGATATAAATGTCGGGAAACTCAGCCTTCGTGACAGGTTCGAGTGGGACCTCAGCTCAGACTTGACACCCGAGGAATTTAGTAAATCATTAGCGTCAGATCTTGGAATTGGTGGAGAATTTGTTACATTAATTGCACATAGTATCCATGAACAATTGTTAAAGCATAAAAAGGAGATAAAATCCGACGATTCAGACAATGAACACGAACCATTGAAATCAATCTTTCGTAATATTGAAGATGCTGATGAATGGTGTCCTGTCTTAGAAATACTGACTGAAGAAGAATTAGAAAAAATAAGACTAGATAAAGAAAGAGATATAAGGTACTGTCATGACTAGTTTTTACCTCATATTTGAAGTGTTTAAATGTCTAATTAATGTATGTTGCAGACGGATGCGCAGGGCAACTTCGCGTAGCATTGCGCGAATTAGACCATCAAGAACATTACAAAATGGTCTTGTATTGTCACCAACCTCAAGGATGAGAAGCGATCTCAAAGCCACAAAATTATCAGTCGAAGAATTAGTTCATTGGCGATGTCAACACTGTGGTATTGATGGTCATAATACACCACTCGTTAGGAAAGGTCCAGATGGTGGCAAGGTTTGTAATTTAGAGAATGACTATCTTTTCCTTTTCTTTTAAATTAGCTAAACATATATTTTAAATTATCGAAGACCCTTTGCAACGCATGCGGCTTGGTATGGTTGAACAAAGGCGAATTACCGCCGCACCGAAAAGCATTGTTCAAAAAGGACGATGACTAAAAAAAAAAAAATATTATGTATTCTCTCGTGATAAAAAAAGAATGGATATTTTAAATAATTTTTTTTTTCTTGGAAATTTAGCATACAAAACAATTAATCAGGAACATCTTATTATCTCTATTATATTCATTTTAATGTAGATTGTAAATATAATTAAAATCAATTGTTTAATCCTAGATTTATTAGTATTTAATACTTTTAAAAGAATAATTCACGTGATTTTTTCGGTTAACTTTAAATTATCCGAGAAACCATTGAAAAAACCTCCCTAAGGTAACTAACTATATTGGGCCGTTGATCATCAGAAAATTTTTTCCTCGATATAAATTTAGTTCAATCAAAATCTAAACAATACAAATAAAAAATAAAATGTTAGGATTTGATGTTTCTAGACTTCCACAAACAGAAGATGATATCGATTTTTCCGATATTGAAGCAAAATATCAAGTTCCCTTCGAGGAAGGCTTTGATACAATTATTGTAGTGGATAACGTGCCTATAGTTGATGAACGTAAAGTAGATAAGTTATTGACAGTCATAAAGAAGATTTTTAAGAATGCCGGAGAGATCAAAGAAAATGGTATTAATATGCCAATGGAAATTTCCTCGGAAGCTGAAAAATTAAATTCTAAGGGGTTGCTAAATGAATTCTTTTACTTTACAATGTCGAATAAAACTATTTAATACAGTAATTAACTATCAAGTTTTGTGTATTTTCTAGATATCTCTTTATTGAATTTGAAACACCCGAACAAGCAAGTTTGGCAATAAAAAATTATGATAATTATCCAATGGATAAGACACATTATCTTTCCGTAAATAGATTTACTGATATTGAAAAGTATTCACAAATAGAAGAAGAATACAAAGAACCTGAAGAAGAAAAATTTGTCGAAAAAGTAATGATATTATCATTTTATTTAGCATTAATTTTAAATCTAACTTCATTGTTATTATAGGAGCATCTAAGGAGCTGGCTTACTGATCCACAAGCACGTGATCAATTTGTGCTTTATCGTGGAGACGACGTGAGCATTTTTTGGAATAGAAAGACCGAACCTCCGGAAGAAGAGCATAAACGTGTTGTAAGTATTATTATCTTATATTGCACATTCATGAATATTATTTGAGTGTAAATATACTTTTATTTTTACAGTATTGGACTGAAACATATGTCCAATGGTCGCCCCTGGGAACTTATTTAGCGACATTTCATCGTCAGGGTATTGCACTATGGGGAGGTCCTAGTTGGAACAAAATTATTAGATTCGTTCATCCAGGTGTTAAACTGATAGATTTTTCTCCCAATGAACGTTTTCTTGTTACATGGAGTAATGAACCTATCACTCTTGGAACAAATGGAGGCTTAGGTACCCCATTTGGACATGAAGATGAAGGGAATCAAATTATTATATGGGACGTTTTAACCGGAAACCTTTTGCGTTCATTTCCGTCTTCAACATCGACTGACGGAACTCCTAATAAAATTACATGGCCAATGTTTAAGTGGTCTCCATTTGATAAGTATTTTGCCAGGGTTACACCAGGACAACAGATTTCCGTGTATGAAACACCTTCAATGGTATTAGTTGATAAGAAAAGTATTAAGATTGAAGGAGTAGAAGATTTTGAGTGGGCACCCGCTTCTGATAAAGAAAAACATAATTCGGGTGATAAAAAGAATAAAGAGAAATTGTTAAGTTATTGGACGCCGGAAATTGATAATCAGCCTGCTCGTGTCACTTTGTTAAATATTCCTTCTAAAGAGATTATACGAACAAGGAATTTGGTCAACGTTAAAGATGTAAGTTTCTTAAATTTATTAAATTTTATTAAATCATTGAAACATACTAAAAAAATTATTTTTATATAATAGTGTAAAATGCACTGGCAGTCAAATGGTGATTTTCTGTGTGTTAAAATTGATCGACACACAAAAACCAAAAAATCCACATTTGCAAATCTTGAAATATTTAGAGTTCGTGAGAAAGACATTCCTGTTGAAGTCATTGAAGTCAAGGATAGAGTTATTGCTTTTGCATGGGAACCTAAAGGTGAACGTTTTGCAATTATCACAACAAATGATCCTAGTTATGGACAACCAACTCAAGGTGGTGTTACTTTGAGAACTAATGTTTCATTTTATTGTCTTGAGAAACCTAAACCTGGTAAAGGTGGCGGCACAGCTAATTTTAAACTAATTAGTAAGTATCAATAGTTTACTCTTAGTAAGCTTTTCTTGTACAAAGAAAGATAGATTATTTATTTATTTCTTTAGAAACACTGGAGAAGAAAACTGCTAATGCTATTTACTGGTCGCCACGTGGTCGACACGTAATATTGGCAACTCTTCGGTCGACGACTGTTTTTGACCTAGAATTTTGGGACTTAGATTTTGACACTATTGGTGATCAAAAAGAAGGATCAAAAAATGATTCATCTGCTTCCATACAACTAATGTCTACTCAGGAACACTATGGTGTTACTGATATTGAATGGGATCCCACGGGACGTTATGTAATTACTAGTGCTAGTGTCTGGAGACATTCGGTAAATATAAATATCTAGAAGTTGCTGTAGGTGATAAGTAATTTATTTTTAACATCGCCACGTTCTCGATTTCATAGATGGAAAATGGGTACACTCTTTGGGATTTTAAAGGAGCACAGCTGCAAAAACAGTTGTTAGACAACTTTAAGCAATTGTTATGGAGACCTCGTCCAAAAAGTTTATTATCAGATGATGATAAAAAGACGATCAGAAAGAATCTGAGAGAATATTCTAAAACATTCGAAGCAGAAGATGCTCTTGCACAAACTTCAGTATCTAAAGAATTATTAGCACATCGTCGTCGTCTTATTGATGAATGGAACGCTTGGCGTAAACGCGTTGAAAAAGATCTAGCAGAAGAAAGAGAAAGAGCGGGAGTGCCAGTCATCTCTAGAAAGGATGATGATAATGTGGAAATTATTGAAGAATGGATTGAGGAAGTTGTAGATGAAATTGAAGAAATAGTTGAAGATTAATTATCCTTCTATTATTATTAATTCGCTTATATAGTTCATATTAAAAATATTTAAAATATTTGTATTGCATTATTTAGTTATTAAGATGTAATTGACAAGATATATTAAGTAATTATATTTTAAATTTTAAACGTAAATAACAATCTTGTTATAAGAAACGTAAAACAACTTTTTTTTGAATAGTAAAATTGCGACAAGAGAAAACTATATGATACAAAAAACTTTTTATTCTAATCCTTTTCCTTTTTTTTATCACTAAGTTCGTCAAGATTTTCTTCGAGTTCTTTCAATTTCTTTTTTTGTTTTGCAAGTTCTTCACGAAGGTGCTTTACTTTTTCCGCATCCTGAAAATAGCGAAGTAAATTATAGAATTATAAAATATAAAGTGAAATATAATTAATCACTCACTTGCGCACGAATCCATTGGTCTTCAATAGCCTTCTCTTTTTTGGAAAAAGTAGAGTCAGTAGCATCTCTAATATGGCCCTCAGGTCCAGATGCAAAATAACGAGGACGTGTAAGTACAGCCAACTGTGAAGAGGTTAGTAAACGATGAATTCGAGCTGCTGGTACAATTTTGTTCATGTCATTAATTAAACGAAAAGCTCCAGAACGAGAAAGTACACTTCGCATTTTAAGAATTTATGTACAGATAAATTTTTTAGATTTCATGTTTAATAGACTTTTAGATTTTATAACACATTTGTAATACAATAATAAGTCATGTGATTACTACGTCAGTCATTGCCTACACCCTCTAAAGCCTTGTCTAATTTTATATGATTTATGCGATCATTCCATATGGTTGCGTAATAAAAAATGGATTCAAGTTTATCCTCTCGCAGTTTTGAAAACTGGTTATTAGTAGAATGTTCACGTAATAATTTTACCAAAGCTTTCTCATATAACTTATCTATAATGCTCTCCTTTAATTCTAATTCATGATCTTGTTCAAATTGTTCTTTCCATTTCACATATTCTTCACATTCTTCTACATCAGAACTTTCACAATTTGAAGAATCTGAGTTTTGCGTATCTTCCGTTTCCATACCTTCATTTTCACTATTTCCTGAAATCTTTCCCCATTCACCAACTTCAATATCATCTGCATCGGTAGACCAGTCGTCACGTTTATTTATTAAATTAATGTTCGAAATACTTCTTCCGGGAACTTCAATATTGCTTGACTGATCTTTTGAGTTAATATTTACTTGTCCCGTCACTATTCGATTTGGTAACATATGTTGACGAAAATCACCTTTAATTTTATAACCACGAAATCGTAATACTCTACGTATTTCCTGTACTGTAATCTAATAATATAAATAATTCATTATGTCCACAACACTTAATTTTTATTTAGATTCTCCATGTTTTCTTACCAAATGCTTAATATTCTCTTGCGGATACAGTCTTTCATGATGTTGATTTAAGATAATTAAGTCATAAATAATAATAGTTAACCAACCTCTTAGTACATCATAAAGTGAGCATAAAATATGATTTGGAAGTTCTTTATCTTTGGTCTCCATATCACTAAACAAGAATAAAATCTTATTATTTTAATTAAATAATGTGAATACCAAAGTAAATACTCACAACTTGAATAATTCTATCTTTGATTTATCCTGTTGCAATTTCGATTCATTAGTGATAGAATCAATTTCAATCCCGCAACTTATCTCATTTTCTTCAAGTTTTTGAATCAACATTTTAGCAGACTTATCTTCAAGTTTGGCCCATTCTTTACTCATTTCTCTAGCAGCCGGTATATGCTCATAGTTCAAAGGTTCATTCTTGATTCTTCCAATTTCTTTAGCATATCGTAGCTCATTTTCTAATTTTTCAATATACATAATAACTTGTAAAGGAGTTTTCGTTTTTATTCTTCTCGATATCTCGACGGGATTATGTTTACCACATCGCTGTAATGCAGTAAAAAATTGATTAATTTCTGATGCTTCCCAATTCACATTATGTTCAGAACGAATGTGGTTTATTTTTTCTCCGGAATTGAAAAAAAATTCTTGTTCTGTTAAGAATTTATGATAATTTATTACAGGAATATCAACATTGGATCGCTGATTTTCCAAAGAAGAAACTAAATTTTTATAATTTAATATGAAGAGATTTATATCTATTTCTGAATCAGGCGAAGTTTCGGTCATATTTTTTTTAAGAACAACACCCTTGCACCGATTTTTTTACGATCGACAATCCTTTTTTTTTTGGCAAATCAAATTTGGATTTTAGGTTTCGGTTTTAGTATTCAAAATTTGCTGAAGAGAAACTTCAATTTTTACTAAGCCTTAACTATAGGCAGTTCTATATTAGTATATTCCTAGCCGATAATGAGTAGAGGTAGAGGAGGTGGACGTCGGGGCTTTGGTGGAAGAAATGGATCGGGATTTGGTCGCCCGAATTTCTCAAGTGAATTACAAGCTATATTACATCAAACTCTTTCAAGTGACACACCTCCCGTATTATTTTACCATTTTTCTTTTTTGTTCTTTTTTGTATATTAATTTTGATATCTTTATTGTAAATTAGAGGATCGAATTTCAAGAACCAATACCACCTTCTGAAGATGAACACAAAATGCTTAACGCATTGTTTGGATATAAGGCATCCCTTAAAGATTCAGCTTTCTTTATAACACCAGCACCTCCCTCACCTGGTACGATTAGATTGATCATGAATTTTATTCTAATTTCCTTGTAATAATTCTATTTCTTCTTTAGATATTCAACGATATTCTGATCAATTTAAAAAAAAGAAAGCTCAACATTCATTGCGAGATGTTAAGACAGGTTGCGTAAAAGTTGTGATGTGAATTAACTTAAAATTAAATTCTATTCTTACTTATTAAAAATACAATCAGACTTAGCATTTTTTCCACATGAGTTACATATAGTTAAAGATGACTCAATTATAGTAACAGTTTCCACTGATGGTATTGTATTTCTGAAGAAATATTTATTTATTTATTATTTATTTATCTATCTATTTATTTATTTATTTATTTAATAGCAAACCAGAAGAAAGTTCAATTTGATTTGGATTTGACATTTGGACAATTGTTAGAACAAGAAAGTAAAGAAAAAGCTAAAAATGTGGAGGTATTTTAAGAAAATTATTTGAATTTTTTTACTTTTTAAATGGTGATTAACAATAAATATATATGAATTAGCATGGAAATGAAAATGAATTTGAAAAATACCCAGATATGGAGCAGATTCAAGAAGATGAAGAATATGGTGATGCTACAGATTATGTTGAAAGTTATTTTGATAATGGAGAAACAGATGATGCATTTGATGATGATGGAGGAAAGATAATTTTTCTAGTTATACTAGTTATATTTATTTAGTATATATTATTAATATATATATTTTTTTATTTTTTATAGGAGGTGGAGGAGAAGCATATTTTGACTAAACATTGGAAATCTTTATTAAAAATCATAATAGAATTACTGAAAAATAATCAAAAAAAAGGAAAGAAATATTTAAATATTAGTTAAATTATAAATTTTGTATTATATAAAAAAATAAAAAAATTATTTTTATTATTATTATTATTATACTTTAAGAAAGCAGAAAAATTTAATTATTAAATATATAAGTTTTATAAATTAATAAGTATTAATAATAATTATTATTATAATAAACTAGTTGTAACCAATTGCTTTGCAATAGGATTCTTCTCTTTTTATTTTTTATATGTATTCTAGGGACTTGGAATTTTTTCAGTTATAAAAAATTTATTTTTTACATTCTAGTTAAATGTCTTATGTTTTAATATGTTAATATATTTTAATTTTACCTAGTATTATGTAATTTTATCTAGAGTATTTAGAATGTAATATATTACAGATTTACAGGTGTAATAAAAAACAAAACTCTAATATTTATTTGTATAAGACTAATTTTCTCTCCATGTGATTTAACCCAGATGACATCACCTATGTAAAATTAAATCATATAAACCTGGTATATATGTATATTACATCATTCATAAAAAAATAATAGTCAGATTTAGATTAGTTAGGATTAGAGTTAAGGTTAGAATTAGGAATTTAGAAATTTAGAAATTTAGGAATTTAGGAATTTAGGAATTTAGGATTAGAAGATTAAAATTAGGATTAGGATTAAGGTTAGGATTATGGTTAGAAAATTAGAATTAAGGTAAGGTTTAGGTTTGCTGGAGTTGTTAAATTTGAAATTTACAGTTATAAAAGTTATAAATTTTAATTTTTAGTACAGGTAATATTACCTAGGTGATATCTTCCAGAGAGAAAGTTAGCAAAATTCTATTTATTTATATAAAAATATATAAAATAAAAAAAATTATCATTTTTTTTTTATTTTTTTTTTTTTTATTCAAATTAACTTGAAATTTGATTTCAAATTAGATTAGGTTAAACAGATAATCTGATATAATTTGATCTGATTTAATCTGAAAAAAAATTTCAGGTCAGTTTTATCAATTAACTTATTAAACCTGATTTAATAATCCATTTATAATTCTAGTAAAATACTTCTACTGATATTATTTTTATACTGATATAAATTTGATTTTCAGTAATCTACATAATTTTTAAATTAATTTCTCAATAATTAGTGATCTAATTTTTATAGTACTTGGAATTTAAGCTATTTTTTACTCAAAGAATTGAATTTTGCCATTTATTTTACTGTATCTGCCTTAGTTAAAAAGTTAAAATTTTACTTTTTTATAAATTAGATGATTTTATTTTACAAAATTTCACTATTAATTAAATAAATAAATGCTTTTAAAATATTGCTTTAAATCTTAATTTTAAAATAAATATAAATTTATTTACTGGAACTTGTAATTTATACTGTAAATTTAATTTAAAATTGATGCTTTCTTTTTGTAATCCACTATACACTGATCAAAAATTATATATCAATAGCAGATATATATTAGATATGTATTTGATATGTGTAGTAAAAATGCAAAAAATTGGGTACTCAATATGTGTAATATATGTATAAATATATATATTTATATATATCGGTACCTAATATATATATGATATGTAGATAATATATAAATGATATATATATTTACCCATATCTTACACATATCTAATACCCAATTTTCTGCATTTTTACTATATATCAGGTATATATCTGATATATATCTATTATAAAAAACTTATTAAATAATTTAGAAAAAAACTCTTCCCTATACCGTTCACGTCCATTTTTCACATAAGAAATAATACGCTTTTTTCTCGTTAAGTTACTAGAAAATTAGCACTTCAGTATTAAGACAAAAGTGTTCCTTATCTTACATAACACACTTTTTATTATCACTCTTTTCAGTTCGCAAAGGTTTATAAGGGCTTATTAGTCCTTTACAGAAAAAAGTTTGCAGTTTTCTTACAAAGTTTTCTTCACAAGAAGGCGTAAATACAGTGCACCAATCAGATATAGGATGCCGAATAAAGAAATTGTTGTCGGCTATACTTTTTTCTGTCCAGAAAAAGTAAAACGGTATACGGGTGTGGATACGATCTACTCCACCCGAAAAGGAAAGTCCTACATCCTTTTACATGTGGATTCGTTACAGAAAAAGAAAAATACATTGATGATTATTACCAATAATAGACATATAGTGAAGCTATATGATAAGCCGTTTAAGACTAGTTCAGATAGGACTATTATGAATACTAAATACAGGATTTCAAAATACTTAACAAGTGTATTTTGTGGGTTACCTATTGATTTAAATGCTAGAAATAAGTATTTTTGTAGAATACGTCAATTATTATTGGATAAACTTGTAGCGATAGAAAATAGATTAAAGAAACAAGAAAAGAATAGACAGACTACAACTTATATTAAATTTAGTTACGGTAAACGAACATGGTATTTGGGGTTATATTCCATGTTCATTTTGTAGTAATGTCTGTGCTTATGTAATGTCAAACAATAGGAAAGTATATCAAAATTGTCGTTCAAAGGTGATAGTAACACCTACACCTCCCATGCAAAATACGTTTAAAAATTATTGTCAAAGTAAACAAATAGTAAGTAAACGCATAAGCGTTACTTATACAAAAAAGGTTTCAATGGATAGTGGTACAGGTAACTATTTAGTTACATACTCGAATTTGGGTATTAACAAACAGTTCAAAATAATGAAAGAACAAAAGAAGTATAAAAAGAGGTTTACGAATAGCCTTAAAAATAATAAGAATAAATGGAATTACACTAATAATAGATTTGAGTCAAAGTCAGTAGTTTCCAAACATCGATTGAAACGAAGATGTGATATTCTTAAGAAACATTATATCTCAAACAAGGAATTGGAGTTTCTGTTAGACCAAGTTACAAGTAGATCAGGATACAACATGTTGAAAGAAGATATTTTTATTAACCATTCCTTCAACAGTGAATATTTTCTTGAATTAAGAAAGAAAAAAGAAGCTACTTTTGAACGTGAAGATATTAAGGTGGCAGAACAGTCGACCAGTGCTGGTAAGAATACTATGGTCAATAATATTACCACAAATTTTCAAGAGCTACAAATTAGAAAACAGGATAACGTGCTTCTCTGGCAAGAAATACTACGTGGTTAAATACCGATTACAAGGCCTGAATTTCATAGGGGTTGAATAGTGTCAGAGATCTTCAAACTCTGATGACATATTGTAATAGAGTTAAAAAAAAAAGACTTACTTATAAATTGTCTTATAATTATGTTATTGGTCAGTGTGAAACAAGAGCTCGTAAGATAAAGAGCGTCTCGTGGTATTAAGAAGGTATGAATAAGTAATTAGTTATTCTTGTTTTGTTTTTCTATTTTCTTTTGTGAGATGGCTAATTACAAAGAAACAAATTATCAAAAGAGAAAAAATGAATAATTATTTTTGGATTTTAAATCATTCCTTATCTGATAATATTTACATAAGGCTATTAAGTTAGATAAAAAAATATATAGACAGATTATCTATTGAATTTATTTTGTAGTTTCACACCATTCCATATTTGATTATATTTACATATGGCAAATTTTATTTGAAAGAAAAATATATAGACTTCTTTTAGTAGTTTTAATGAATTAATTATATACTCGCTTCATCATTCTGTATTAGATAGTATGTACATACAGCTTTTTTAATAAAGAAAGAATCATTACATATATGCACGTTATTTATAACGTGTAGCGATTAAAAATTTTTTTAGCTAAAATTATACAGGAGTATTCAAGAGATGATATAGATACACAAGAATTAAAAGGTAAAATTAATGAGCTTGGTATGTGGGATATTGGATGTTTATATGATTTTACATTTTTAATGAAGAATCAAATCAGTTGTCAGTTAATAGAATTATTAAGGTGCTATAAAATAATTGAAAAAAAATTGTTGTATAAGGTACTGAAACAAATAACTGGGAGAGTTTTATTAGAATTCAAAGTGCTTATTTGGGAACCAAAGAATGAGTTACAAATAAAGAAAGAAAAGCAGTGCGGTATTAGCAGTAAAGATAAAAAAGCTAAGTCACATAGTAAACGCACTGAAGTGGATGTTAAAAATGTTGGCTGTAAGATGTTAGAAAGTAATTGGAATAAATGGAATGATTTGGCATTCCATCGAGATGGTCATTGGGCAAATTTTTAGGTAGATCATGACAGTCACCTTTGAATTTGAGGTCGCTTAATTCTTATATGTATTTGTTTATCTTATATTTTGTAAGTTTATATATGTAAGTAAGCGTGATTATAATAGGACATGATCGCATCTATAATAAAGTATTAAAAAAAAAAAATATATATATATATATCTATTATCAATATATTAATTTTTAACCAGTGATATATATATACTAATATTATATATAAATTTTTTATATTTCATTTTACAATTAATGAAAAAACTTTGTTGTACTAATATTATATATAGTTTTGTGATGTAATATATATTGATACTTTTTTTGTCCCTTTATAAATCATAATTAACTTATAAGTAAGATGTACTAATAATTTAGATTATATTAGCATATAATCTTACTTAATATGTTATAGTGCATTTTATATTTATATTGGAAATTATATCTCAAATGATTTCAACTACAGGTAAAAACAAAATACTTTTCAAACAAAAAAAGAGTTGTTTAATATATATACAAAAAAAACAACTTTGTTTAATTATCAAAAATACTACTATTTTATATAAAATTAAACAAAATATTATCTTTGATATTTTTTTTTTTTAGCTGAATGTAAATTCAAACTTAAAAAAATTAAATAAATAGAGAAAAAAACTCACATATTTTTCTCAAATTAAAGAGACTCTTTTATTATAAATAATAACCAATATGATCTTATTATAAATACTGATATATTATATGAAAAAGGCTCAAAAAGCTAAATTTTTACACAGCAGTTTGAAGTTAATAATTTTACAGCTAATAAATGGATAAACAAATTTAAAGAACATTATAATTTAAAATAATATGTTAAATGAAATGAAATTAAAAATGCATTATTGGAAACATTAGAAGAAGAAAGAAAAATTTTATATAAAACTATTAAAAATTATGATTTAAATAATATTTTTAATTGTAATTATTGTAATTAAACAGGTAATTTTAAATTTTTTTAAAAAAAATAATTAAATAATATTTTAATCTTTTTTTTATTTTAAAACTATATTGGGATCTTAAATTTTTTAAATATTAGTACAAAGTTCACTTTCTGGAAAAAAAAAATTAAAAAATGTATTATACTCCTACTCATATATAATACAACTGGAACTGAAAAATTGAAGTTACTTTTTATCAATTTTGTTATTCTTTTTTTTAAAAAAATATTTTATTACATTTATTTTAAAAAAAAACTATATTATTTTTATTTTAAAAACAATTTATTATATTTCTTTTTTTAAAAGTATTTCACTTTTTTTTTTTTAAAGATATATAGTTTAAAATTTCTAAAAAATAGACTGAAGTGAATATTCTTTTATGGCTTTTAAATTTTTTAATAAGAGTTTTTTTTTTATATATATTATAATATTTTTCTAAATTAATATAACTATTGTATTTTATTAATAAGCTTAAAATCCACAATTCTGCAATTTACCTAATCAGTTTTGGCACTAATTTACTGAACCAATTTAAAAAAAAATATTTACATATTTTTTTAATTAATTTAATGAAAAAATGTTATAAAATATTTTTTAAAATACTTTTAATTAAAAATGTTTGCAATGTTTTTTAATTAATTTAATAAAAAAATGTTATAAACTATTTTTTTAAAGTACTTTTAATTAAAAAATGTAATATTTTTTAATTAATTTAACAAAAAAAATATTGTAATATTTTTTCAAAGTACTTTTAATTAAAAAAATGTTTGTGCAATATTTTTTTAATTAATTTAATAAAAAAATGTTGCAAAAATGTTTTTTCAAAGTATTTTTAATTAATAAATATTTGCATAATATTTTTTTAATTAATTTAATGAAAAAACATTGCAAAAATGTTTTTACAGCAATATCCAAAATAAAGGAAACGCTTGAAAATTTTGTTGCTAAGAATCTGCCAGGTTGTTGACTTGCTGGGTTGCCAGAAAATTGAAAAAATAAACAAACACGTGACAAGTTCATTATGTAACATAAAACATTTGATTTCACGTATAAATATTGGTTTATTTCCTTCGCGTAATGCCTAAATTAAAACTAAATCGACATTTTCGTTGGTTAATAGTTGAAAGAATTTTGGAAGACGCGTCATATAAAAGAATAGCAGAACAACTTAATTTAGTAAAGCCTTACGTTTCAAAAAATATGGATGTGTAGATTCATTATCAATAGGAGGATGATGATTAAGGTTGCTTGTCTAAACCTCTTCAAAATCCTACGATTAGTTTCATCAAAATTTTACTATAGATTTATTATAGTTTCAGCAGAGTTTCGGCAGTTTCGGCATTTATAATAAGTTTCGGCAGTTTCGCCATTCTCAAAAGTTTCGCCAGTTTTTTAATATAACTTTAATATAGTTTCGGCAGAATTTCACTTTTCGGCGAAACGCCATCTTGCCTAAACCCCTAGGTTTCGGCAAGCAACCTTAATTACAGCTTGTATTTACTGATAAGTCTGCTTATGATCGAAGAACACTTTCTCATCGCTATAGATGGAGTTTTAAAGGAAGTCGTGTATGTAAACCTATATTTTTTGTTTGTGGAAGAAGATATACAATAGAGGGAGCATTATGTCTTAATGGTCTTTTGGCTTATGCAATTCAAGAAGGTCCTATAAATAGTAATAATTATAATGATTTTGTTGAAAATATTTTGGTAATTAATTATTATTATACTATGCTTTTACTTTTAATATAATAAATATGGGTTTTTTTTCATTTAAGCTTCCTAAGATGAATGCGTATCCAGATCCTTATAGTGTTTTGGTTTTAGATAATGCATTTATACATAAAGGGCAACATTTACTGGATATTTGTAATACAAAAGAAGTACGAATTGAATATTTGCCTTCATATTCACCTGACCTAAATCTGGTATGTATCGTAGTATTATTGTAAATTTACAGCAAATTCTTTTTTATATTTAAAATGTTTTATTAAATAGATAGAGCAAGCATTTTTTTACATAAAAAACCATTTGCGCCAAAATCGATATTGGATCGAATCTATGCTTTGAATATAGTGGATATATGTAATAATAAAATTCTTTATTAATGAATAATAAAACTTGAATTTTCAACAAAGTTATAATTTTATCTAGTTATCATCAAAGAGATCATTAAAATCAATAATTGTTGTTTCTATATCAATCCATAAATGAATATATGGGTCAAAAAAAACTTCTTCAATCATTTGTTCTGATAGAAAAGCTTTTTCATCTATATTAAGTGAAGATTTAATGACAAACCTTTTTCCTTCTGGAGGGCCCATTGGGAAATATATATTTAATGAGGTCTTGACAGGTCATTCTCTTAGTTATTTGAATATTTGACCTATATAATGATTTTTTTTTAAGGTATACAGTAGCTAAATTAGGTTTTGTTCTTTCTAATAAAACGGGAATTGCTGAATCTTTAAAAAATACATAAAGTTACATGAATTTAATATTGTAAAACAAATAAATACTATGAATATCAATTACCATCAATAGAAAAATTATTGTTGTGATCCTCCAAAGGTCTTTTAGAATTTGGATAACGGTAATTAACTCTATCAAAGAGTTTAGTTAATGGTGAATGAATTGCATCTATTCTGTTAATTTTAGCAATCTAATAATATAACAAATATGTTAATTAAGTAAAGTTTAAATATAAATATATTGATTATTTACATACTATTGCTCTTGCCCAAATTATAACCATTTCATTATTTAATTTGAAATGACGTCCATCTTCTGCGATCAAACAACCTTGGATATGATATTCACATTTAGGAAGATTTTTATATATTTCTGATTTTGTAGTATTCAATAATGAACCAGAATCAGATTCTGATGTCTAAATTTAAATTAAAAATGTTTTTATTAAATATTAATAGATAGATGTATAAATGGCATTAAAGTTGCTTGCCAAAACCTAGGGGTTTAGGCAAGATGGCGTTTCGCCAAAAAGTGAAATTCTGCCAAAACTATATTAAAGTTATATTAAAAAACTGGCGAAACTTTGGAGAAAGGCGAAACTGCCGAAACTTATTATAAATGCCGAAACTGCCGAAACTCTGCCGAAATTATAATAAATCTATAGTAAAATTTTGATGAAACTAATCGTAGGATTTTGAAGTGGTTTAGACAAACAACTTTAAATGGCATATACTGTATAATGTATATATCACTAAATAAATAAATAAATAATAATACTCTAAGTTTTTTTGATACAGATTCCTCTACATTATCTTTAACCACAGAACTTCCATAAACTATTTCTTTTCTTTTATTTTGTTTTGCAGAATATACGCACAATTGTATCTTCTTATTTTTTTTACACTCTGCAACAAATGCCATAATAGTATCACTTGGCTTTAAATTAAAGTGATCTGCTTTAGAGGTAGAACTTTTTTGGTAGCAAATAAGGCCAAGTTCTATTTTCCTTCACTCTTTTGGAAGGCTACAAGATAAAATCTTCTCTTCAATTTGACTAAAAGTAGTCAAATCATCCAAATTATAAGGTATATCAATTGCACCATCAAATTTTTTTCGTGGTTGCTTAATGTTGTTAAAACAAACTAATGGGATATATCCTAAATTGAAAAATCTGAGTTATATATACAGTCAGATCTCCATATAGTCACCTAATTGGTTCCCACAAAATCGGTGATTATATAGGAGTGTAATTGTATGAAGGAACCTTCATACAATCACTGCCATATTAAAAATCATGTGTGGTGACTATATAGAGGTCTATTAATAAAACCTGTTAAAATGGCATATATATATATAAAATGTAATAAATACTATATACTAGGAAACGGAAACCATTGTAAGTCCAGAGCGAAAGATTTGTACAAAAATCCAAATATCTTTAAAAATTTAATTTGTACAAAAAATCTGGCATCCCTAAAAAAATAAAAATGAAAAATGAAACATTAAAAACGTTTCTTTAAGGTTAAACAAGTAAGAAAAGCCCTCACAATTTACCTTTAAAAGTCTGGCATGTACAAAAAACTTGTGTTCCTAGATAAAAGAAAATAAAAATGAAATGCCAAAAACGTTTCTTTAAAGCAAAACAAATAAAAAACAACTCACCAGTCCGGTATGTACAAGAAATTCAGAAACCCTAGGAAAAAAATAAGAAAGTCGTTTAAAGAAAAATATACTTACTAGCCGAAATCTAAAAAAAAAAGGTAATCATAAACTTTTTTACTTGTTTATTTTTGATGTAGCATGAAATTTCAATACACATTCTGTGCAGACCAATCAGAAATGACGCGTGCGGACAACCGGAAATCGCCACGTGACACTAATTGTCATCGATTTTCGTAAAATTATATAGTCCTTCACTACACTCCGGACAATAAATATTAATTAAATAACTTTATTTTAATGTTATTATATTTTATGTCATTTATTATTTATTATTTATTAAATGTTATTATTATTAAATATTATTATTACTAAATATTATTATATTATGATTAAACGTTATATTATTAAATGCCACTAGTGTATACCAAAAAGACTAAAAAAATCTGTAATTAGAACTTGCTTTCGAGATTAATGTTCAAGCCGCTTGACTATCTTAAAGTATTTTTCAAAGATTTTCATATCCTCTATGGAGAATTCATCTATCTTCTGCTGCTCAAAAAATGTAATCCAAGTCTGTAAGGATTTGAGAGCATCATTTGGAGGCACTAGAATTTGTTCTTCTTCTTCGGAATCACTATCATTTTCATCATTTTCATTACACAGATCAAAATGCTAAAAATCAGCAAAAAAAATGGCACGAAAAGCAGTAGCTATTCTTGGCTATTCTTGGCTATTCTTGGCTGGTTTTGGCTATTTGCGAATTAACCTATACTATTTGTAAATAGTTTATATATAGTTTATGCAATTCTAGCCATTTTTTTTGCCTGTTTTTGGTCATTTAACGTGTGTTATTTTGATCTTGAATTAGTCTAACTATATCATCATCACTCAAAATTTCTTCAGTGGGAATTTCTTTTAAATTACGGAAGAAGTCATATAATTCATCTGCCAACAAAGCAGCAGCAGGATCATCTATATCAAGTTCATTAATCATTTGACCAATATCTGCTGCATCATCATCCATTATTTCTTGTTGGATTTGTATCACATCATCTATTTCTTCATTGGTTAAAGAAGGTAGAATTCTAACAGTTCCGGATTGTTTCTTCTGTCACATGATCCCATGCTTCTGCAACATAGTTTATTGCTTCTTTAATATTAATTTTCTTTTTGTTGATATCCTTCCTATCTTCGAAGAGACCCAGCATATGGTGACAATATTTTCTCTTAAAATAATTCTTGAAACTTACGATAATTCCAGCATCAAGTGGTTGGAGGTGACTTATAGTATTTGGAGGTAAGAAAGCCAGTTCAATATGAGTTAATGGCTGATATCCACTTGATCTACCACTTGATCTACCACTTGATCTACCACTTGATCTACTACCACAACCTCTTGATCCACCACCGTGACCTCTTGATCTACCATCGTGACCTCTTGATCTACTACAACCTCTTGATTCACCACGACCTCTTGATCCACCTCTTGATTCACCACCACGACCTTCCGAAGCTAAAAAAATCACGTAATAAATCTGAATTTATTAAATTTAATTGACAAAGATCTTACCAGTAGTTTCAATTTCTTCATCATTAGTATCATCTTCATCTTGCTCATCTTGCTCATCTTGCTCAGCTGATGAATAATTTGGATTGAAATGTGATGGAGCATTGTCAACTAAAAGCAAGATTTTTTTGTTTTTCGCTCTAAAGTAGCTATCCATTTCATAAAGAACTTCTTTAAAAACCACAGAATTCATCCATGCTTTTTTGTTTTCACGATAAAAGACTGGAAGACGTTCTAAATTAACCTTTGAAAGAGATCTTGGACGTTTTGCATTTCCAATTACCCATGGTTTGAGTTTATCAGTTCCTGTTGCATTAGCACCAAGTAGAACTGTAATTCGTGTCTTATCTTTCTTTCTACCTGGAACTGGTTTGGTTGAAAGTGTTTGACTTGGTGACATTAGATAAAAAAGGCCATATAAGATACAAAATAAAAAAGGAGATAAGGAAAAGATAAAGGAATATAAATAATAAATGGTAAGACTTACTGTTTCATCAATATTATAAATTTGGTCAAGAATATATCAGCTTAGAAGTTGCTGTAGTTTTGTTAGTTCTTCTGGGAGAGAAGCTAATGGTGCGCTTTCTGACTCTCCATGTATATGATACCTACGGATATTATTGCGTTGTTTGAATTTATATAGCCAACCATTAGAAAATACCAACTCATTTTCCTGTATATTAAATGCTTGAGCAAATATCTTTGCTTTTTCTTTAATTAACAAATCAGTTAAAATAACACCTCCAGCTGTAACATTCTCCACCCATAAATTCATGGCTTGATCGAGTATCAGAAATTTGACCGCCTTATGTCTAAACGTCTTACTAGAATCTTCTGTATTTATAATAGCTGTCCACTTATCACTTTGTAACAAAATTTTCGATATAGTGCTCCTGTCAATTGTTAAATTGGGATATACTTCATTAAAGTGGTTTGCAATATCTACATGACGTTTATTCTTATTGGCCTTTTCCCATTCGCAAATTTGACGTTTTACTTCATCACTTATTGCCGAATAACGTTGTTTTTGTTGTCTAAAAGGTGGCATAATAAAAGAATAAAGCAAAAAACTTTTTTGTGTTTCATGATCATTTATTGCTACGGATTTATATGTTTTAATGTATTACAAATTGATCATATGTCAACTCGCGTACGTTTATGGATTGATGATCATATGTGTTATATGCCAATCAAAAAAACCATGTGATTAAGAGAAGTCTAATTACTAATAGAAATGATATGCACATTTGGAATTATGCGGTGATAGTGATTATAGCCAAATTGTGCTTATAGAGGGGTAATTTAATATTATTTAAAACCGTTTCTCAAAATCAGTTTCTTATAAAGAGGTGTGACTATATGGGGTGTGACTGTATGGGGGTCTGACTGTATTATATTTATAAAAATATTAACTGATTACATTATTACATTACTTATGTAAAACAGCCTTTATTTTCATAGGTTGTACATTATTTGGTGGACTTGGTATTAATACTGATATACTGGGCAGCATAGTACTTTCCAAGCCAGTTGAATCAATACAATTTTCTTTCACAATAATACAATCTTCTCTTACAATGATACAATCATCTTTTACAGCAATACAGTTTTCTTTTACAGAAATCAAATCACTTGACGTAAAATGCTTGTTTATTGTGTTTTAGATATATTTTGAATAAGACAAAACTACAGTATATACTTATTGCCATAAATACATATAAAAAATATATAAAAATATACCATTCTTTTTGCCATGATATCTCTTCATACATTTTTGACAAATATTAACATTATTTGGAATTGATAAAAGTTCAATTTGCGAAGAGATATTAGCAAAAACCCAGTCAGCAAATCCTAAATCTAATACAACTTTTTGGTTTGTGGCGTCTTGTTGTGAGAGAGGTTTATGGCAAAAGTCTATTACATAATCGTGTTCAACTTTTTTCCTTTTCCATACTATTTCTTTTGCTTGACAAATACATTCTTGACCATATATATTTTGACAATCTAAGCAAATAAGACAAATTGGACAGGCGTTCAAATGAAATTTCAAAAAAGTCATTATTCAAATAAAACAGTAAGGTAAAGGTAAAGGTAAAGGTAATGAAGGTATTATATTTATAATTACACATTTACACGTGTTATATGTGTAACATGTCACGTGTTTGTTTATTTTTTCAATTTGCCAGCAACCTGGCAAGCCGACAACCTGGCAGATTCTCAGCAACAAAATTTTCAAGTGTTTTCTTTATTTTGGATATTGCTGTAAAGTACTTTTAATTAAAAAATGTTTGTGCAATATTTTTTAATTAATTTAATAAAAAAATATTATGAAAACATTTTTTCAACATTTTTTAATTAATTTAACAAAAAAATAAGACCTCAAATAATACTAATATAACTTACAAGTAAATTTTAAGTACTGAAGTAAAAATATATTTTATGATATGACTCTGTTAATATTGAAGCTAGAAATGCGATTTTACTATCATTAGAATCCTCTCATTTAAACGAATCTAATGATATAAATTTCATTAAAATCAAATCACTAGTTGTGTTAAAAATAGAGGTATATAGGATAATAAAATTTTGAAAATATTTCTGTAATATGCAACTTTTGAAAAATTTTAATATAACTCTATGTAAATTCAAATGCGAGTTGTATCAGTATTATTTAAGATCCTGAAAAAACATTGCAAAAATGGTTTTTCAAAGTACTTTTAATTAAAAAATATTTGCATAATATTTTTTTAATTAATTTAACAAAAAAATAGTACTAAAAACATTTTTTCAAAGTACTTTAATTAAAAAAATATTTGTGCAATATTTTTTAATTTATAATTTAACAAAAATGTTGCGAAAATGTTTTTTTAAGGTACTTTTAATTAAAAAAATGTTTATGCACTATTTTTCAAAGTACAGTCAACTCTCTTTATAGTCACACATTTGGGACAGTACATATTTGGTGATTATGAAGAGATGTGACTATATAAAAAATTTCTTATATTTGTATATCATAATTCCGGCCAAAAATTAACATAATTTTAGCCAGAATTATACTTAAAACTTTATTGTATCGTAACTTCGCCAATATTAATCGTAGAGAGATGATCTTACCGCCATTCGATTCGTCTTGATGAGACGGTTCTAATGGTATAAAATACGTCGAAATCCAATCACTAGATTAATTTCCGAAATTAAAAAAATATTAATGGTTTTTGTGTAATAACTCTGCCAATATTGATCCTAGAAAGACGATCTTACTACCATTCGATTCGTCTTGATGAGACGAATCTAATGGTATAAGATATATCGAAATCCAATCACTAGATCAATTTCCGAAATTAAAAAATATTAAATGGTTTTTAAGTAATAACTCCGTCAATATTGATCACAGAGAGATGAGCTTACCACCATTCGATTCGTCTCGATGAGGCGATTCCAACGAGCTATAAATCGTCTTTTTACAATCACTAGGTACCGAGAAATCTAGCAAAATGTTAAATGGCACAGTGAACGTAAATCAAGAAATATTATAATGCCGATGTTTAACATTTTGTTGAATAACTCGTCAGCCAGTGATCGGAAAAGGATAAAACTAAAAAAAAAAACTAAAAACAACTCTCTCCCGTTCTGCTCACTTGACAATATTTACGAAAAAATAAAAAATTTTTTCGAAGTTTTTTATTACTTTTTCTTTATAATTTCTTTATTTTAGATAACTACTACGACACTTTACAAATGGGTAAAGATAACAAAAAGAAAAATAACCAGTCTAACAAAGATACTACATCTAAACGTCCTGCCTCTAGCTCTCCAACTGGCAACGTTTCTGGTCAAGGTTCCTCTATGTCTGGTCCTTCGAACACTCCACCTTCGACCACCTCTACTAATAAACGTACCAGAGTCAGTGCCGAAGACTCTGTCATGGATGTTGATAAACCTCTCACGCCTCCTGGCCCCGTTGAGACAACTTCCGATGAGACACCTTCTCAACCTGATACCTCCTCTCTTGACGCTTCTCAACACGCACCTGCTAATAACAACGATAAAGGCAAAAGCCCAGAAATTACTCCCGCAGTCTCCTTCCCCGAACGTGCTGCCTCCCCCGACGCGTCCCAAGCTGCAGTACAATCTCAACCTACGCTTTTCTACGCCTCAGCCGCTCCTAATGATGTCGATGGCTTTTGGAATCACTTCGCTTCGAACCGCGACGCGTGCGACGCGGTTGATCGACAACTTTCCTTGTTCTCCTCTTATGGTAGTCGTGCCACGTGTAGTGGATCCAACGATTTGAAGAGGATCATCGTCCACTTCCGAAAAAAAGAAGATCTTGACAACGCCACAGCTTCCCCTATGGATTCTTTGTTCGGCTTGCATTTCCATGCGTATGACCCCCAGGCTATTAAGGCAGAAGAACACGCACGTACCCTGGTGGTTACCGATATCCCCCTTTTTCTTACTGACGCGCTTTTGCGTGGTACCTTTTCTCGTTACGGCAACATTACTCGTTGCCATACCCGTTTGTCTAAACTTTATCGTACTGCATACATTACCTTTGAATCTACTGGTGCTTTACGAAACCTCGACTCTACCTGGGGCGTCCTTTGTGGAGGACATTGTTTGCGAATTTGCCCCGCTACTTTTTCTCCTGACCAACGTACTGAAAGACGCGCTTATGTCGCTTTACTTGCCGGTCTTCCGCGTGGTACTATAGCGGCCGATCTTGCTGAAATTGCCGATGAAATTTCCGCTAAATCTATCAATGTTCCCTTCTCTATGAATTCATACAATCCCAAACCTTACGCCTATTGCCATTTTGCCTCTGAAACGGCTATGGAAAATGCTAAATCTATTTCATGTGCCCTAAAGAAAATTGGACTTACCTGGCATTCTCCGGATGAAGTCACTTCTCTTTGTCATCGATGTGGTCGACCTAATTGTAACCCTGATCGATGTGGTTCTTCATCTAGACCCAATCGCCCTTCTCGCCCTTGGCAATCTAACGATAAATTGCGTGCTTTATATAATAAGCATTTACCTCCTTCTCACCCTGCTAAACGACATAACCGTTTTGCCCGCCCTGATAATAATAATGATGGACAAAGCCGTACCAATGCTTCTCGCCATCGTTCTAAATCCAGACCTAATAACCGACAACAATCTCGTTCTCGTTCTCAACATCGACCATGGAATCGTGACAATCTTAACAACAACCATAATAATCAACGTCGTCGTATTCCTGATGCAAATGAACTTGATCACTATGCTGATGGCATGGATGTTACATATCCTGCTCCTCCTACTGTGCTTACTGATTGGAAATCTATTGGTGCTGCTCTTGAAAAAGTAGTTGAAGAATTAGCCCTTCTTACCACACAATTTGCTACCATGAACAGCCGCATCACAAATTTGGAATCTGCTATGGCTGCTCGTGCTCCTATTCCAGGACCTTTTGTCGCAAAACCACCTTCCTACATCCCTTCCTCTATGCAAGGATGGGATGATACAGTGAATCAAAATAATAATAATATCCTCGTTGATGTTAATTCCCCTCCATTGCAATCAACAAGTGGATTTTCCCCGATTCCTCACTTTGCTCCTATTCCTCCTTCCAACGTCGCTCCTTCCTCTCCTATTGATATGGAACAGCGTCTCTCCTCTCTTTCTGATACTGTTGCCTCTTTGGCTGGCTCGATTAAAGAAGGAATCCAACAAAACAACCTCATCTTAGCTCGGCAACAAGGCCAAGCTAATCAATAATTGTTCTCTTTTTCCCCCTTCTTTATTACCGTTTTATCAGTGTGTAATAATGATGGACAATAATAAACATAATTTTTCCCCTCACCCCTCTCCCCTTATTAAATTTGGTCAATTAAATGTTAATGGTTTATGTTCCCCAGTTCGACAACAACATTTGCTTAATTTTTTTCTTCACTCCTCTTTTGGTGCCTTATCTATTAATGATACATGTCTTTCCCCTTCGAATGCTAAATTTATTTTTAAAAATGAACACTCCCAACATCACTTTAAGTCCTATTGGGCTTGCTCATCTTCTTCTCGCCCTCATGATGGTGTTGGAATTTTATTACGAAATCCCCTTCATAAGCATGTTCAAACAATTGATCCTTGGAACGGTCGACTTCTTAAATTAGACTTGTTCTTTCATCAAACTAAAATTTCTATTATTTCTATATATTATNTTTTCCCCCTTCTTTATTACCGATTTATCAGTGTGTAATAATGATGGACAACAAAAAACAAAACTTTTCCCCTCACCCCTCTCCCCTTATCAAATTTGGTCAATTAAATGTTAATGGTTTATGTTCCCCAGTTCGACAACAACATTTGCTTAATTTTTTTCTCCATTCTTCCTTTGGTGCTTTATCTATTAATGATACGCGTCTTTCCCCATCAAATGCTAAATTTATTTTCAAAAATGAACACTCCCAACATCACTTTAAGTCCTATTGGGCTTGCTCATCTTTTTCTCGCCCTCATGATGGTGTTGGAATTTTATTACGAAATCCCCTTCATAAGCATGTTCAAACAATTGATCCTTGGAAAGGTCGACTTCTCAAATTAGATTTGTTTTTTCATCAAACAAAAATTTCTATTATTTCTATATATTATCCCCCTTCTGGTTCTATTCATCAATCTATTTGTAATGATCTTATTGCTAAACTCCTCTCTTGGCTTGATTATGCCAGAGATAATAATTATTTTGTAATTATCCTTGGCGACTTTAATATTGATGAAGTTGCTCATTCCCATTATTCATCTAGTCATTTTAAGCTTCTTCGCTTGCTTTCTTCTCGGTTTTTTACCGATCATCAAGCTCACTCTTCTACAAATGGTCCTGATCCCACCTTCTTTCACGATAATGGATCTTCGAGACTGGATTATATCTGGTCTTCACCTGGTTTTCCTGCTCCTGGTCTTTTTTCGCAAGTGGTTACTTGCCCGGGTCTTCTTGATCGTCCTTTTACCGATCACAAAGTCCTTACAACTGTTTTTGACTTTAGCTCTTGTTTGGCTATTTTGGCTAAATCCCGTCTCAAA